CCCCCCACCACCACCACGCACACATCTACTAGTTTCCCCATCTTCCAACAAACTCTCTCTGTACCCATCAGCTCCCACCTCTTCACAGATCTGTTAGCCCTCCTAATCCTGTTTGTTTCTTCCCCTTTGCTGAATGACTTACCCTGGTTTCCCCACACACTTCCCAGCACCAGCATATTGCTGCACATACCAGTCCCAGTCTACATTCACTTGGCTTAAAGTGCTGCATGAATAAAGAATAGGTACATAATTTTAAATTCTAGGGGTGCATAATTTAAAATACGTTATTGAATACCCATTCAGCCCATCCAAGAATATGGATCTTCTCATTCAGAAATAAAGTGGCCCTAGTATACTTAGAACATCATCATGAAGAACTTACCCAATGCACTTCCATTTCACCGCTTCAGTTCATTTGGTAACTTTCTAATGTCCTGTATAGACATGCCTTAAGAGTTGGAATGGATTATAGGTAAAGAGGACTTTCCTGTTATAGATAATAGACTCTGAATGAGTGCTTAGAGCATTTTTTCCTGTGTGGTTAATGATAGAAAATTTGACATTTTCCAATTTGGTTGCAAATGTTAACTTAACTTTCTTGTTTTAATGGAGGAAAGTTTTAGGAAAGGTAAACATACTTGATAGTATATGACAAGGGGTGGCAACACATGGCTTGTGTACAAAATAGGGCTTTGCCTGTGCTCAAGCCCACATTCAGCTGAGCAGCGAAGAGCTGCACCAGGGTCAGGGAGCTGTCAGCTCTACCTGTGCTGCTGCCACTTCTCCCTCCTCCTCCCCACCCCCCAGCCCCCACCACTCTGCTTCTCCCTCCCCCAGGCTGAAGTATGACTGCAGTTTCCAGATGGTAGGGAGCTGCACTGGGGTTGGGCTTGTAAGTGTGGGCAGGGTGTGAATGTGAAGGAGCAAGAGCAGGGTGGAAGCAGCTTCCAGCTCCCCAGTTCTAGTGCAGCTCTCTTCCAGGAATTGGGGACCAGTGGGAGCCAGTTGTAGTAATTAGAGTGGAATTACTCGTCACCAGATGTTGTGGAAGCTGACAGTTTATCCAGTTTCAAAAAGGGATTGGATAAATTCTTGGCGGAAAGGTGCATCAATAGCATCAATGGGAGTTAGGGGTACAGCCTCTGAATCAGAATTTAGACCTTAAATGCTGGAGTTTGCAAGTGAGAGAGGAACAGTGAAAAAAGCCCTGGCCATGCCCAGTTCATTTTCCCTTTCAGCATCGACACTGCCACTGTATGACACAGGATACTGGGTAAAATGAGTAAAAGGCAGTTCCTATGTAGTTATAGCACAGACACAGCGTCCAGCTTCATGGCTCTGGTTAGGGTGCAGGGAAAGCCCTGTCACTGACGTGCTGCTGAAGCCATTCAGCCCATGTCAGATCAGAACTGAGCTATTCCTGCCCTGAACATGGTCACCAGTCCCTGGTATACTATATTAAGATATCTGTGGGATTATTCTTTTTTAGCTTAGCAATAAATGAAAAAATAAAGTTTCACCTATGCCCCTTTCTGCAAAAGTAGCAGTTGACCTTCAGTCATTTTTAAGAAGACAGGTTAAACTTTTAGGATTCAAGAAATGATTTCTGTGGCTTAGTGTAATTTTCTGTTGGATCAATTTGGTGATCATGCTGGCAATTGAAGTGTGTCTCTCACTGGAATTAATTGGAGTTAGTGGCAGAGAACTGGAAGTTTCAGCTAAAGTCAAGAATAAATGACTTATAAAGCTCTTGGTTTATGAATGTGGCAAGTGCAAAGGATGAGAAAATATGATTTAATATATGTTAGCTTACCGTAATGTATTCAATTCATTCTTCCTTTCACCCCAGATTCAAAGGTAGTCTTTTTGTGCTCAGTCCTGCAGTGTCCTGAGCATTGTGGCCCTGTTGCTCCAGTGAAACATGTTGGACTCTGCTGAATTTTAGGCATGTGAATAGCTTTACTGTCTTCATGGTTCAGTTTTTGCTGAAATGTTCTGCTGGACCAAAGCAATGTGATGCAACATATTGGACGATATAACCCCTAAAATTGTTTTTCCCAAATTCAATCAATAAATGTTTTTGAAGTTCCTTTCTCCCCTTTAGAAATCTCAGAGATGAATGGTTTCTTACAGGTGTCAGAAAGATAATGTCTGGAAGGTTGTTTTGAATTATCCAAGAATTTTCAAATAACATATTAGGCAATATTATACACAACCTATCACCTGGGTGCGCTTTGCTGTTCATTATGTTTGTAGGCAGAGATGCTTTAA